CCTATAATCAAAAGGTGGCCATATTGTTTTGCAATGTCATATAGAACATGTCCAGAGTGTGACGTTTACACATCCTTACTTCAGAACTGCGGGAGAATGAAAGAGATGACTAATTCACGTTCCTAGTCCAGTTCTCCAATATCGATAAAATGGATTTGTTCTAATAAAAATCATTTAATAATTTTTGGAAATAATTATTAAATCTGGGACTCGGAAATTTTATCCTTCTCGGAAAAATCAGTATATTTTCAAAAAATCTGTAATCTGTATATACAGATATGTGTTTAATCTATATCAAAATATTGAAAAAAAAAATTGATTACAGATAAATCTGTATATGTGGCATCACTGGTCAAGCCTCGATCCAATGCTTGTGTGAGTGTTGCGCTTTTCGTTTTTTGCAGGACTTCATATCCGCCATGTGTGAGTGTGCGTTCATTTAGATGACACAACACGCTGATTTCGTTTCACTCAAGTTGATTGTAGGATGACTTAAAAAATATTTATACATGTCAACATTATTTATATGCTTGTGATTTATTTTCAGAACTAGGAAATATTCAAAATATTCCATGTAATTACGGGAGAAGTTTTCTGGTATTTTTCAACCCCCGTCCTGCAAATATATTACTAAAAAACCGAACCCACGTCACCCATAAAAAGATCTTACATTGAATATTTATATGTTTTGCACAGTGTCGACAAAATCATCAATTAATGATATTTTTAAGATCTCATACCCTTTCAATATCACGCGTGATATTGGAACAAAACATTATGCTTGATATTGATTTTCCAAACCTCTTTGATATTGCGATACTATTTCTATCAATCTTTTCTGTTCACCGATGGTAGACACGAAGCTACTGCTGCCCAATAAGGTACAGAAAGAGGTGAAGCAGATCGTGAAATATGATTGTATTAGTAATCCAAAAAATCTACGTAAACGCAAGTAGTGACGTCACTAATTGCTTGTATCGTACAGGGGTTTTACTCACACAACATAACCGATTGCTTCACCTCGGTAATCCAGCTCATTGACTGCTGCCAGCAGTGACGGTAGTTTCTTGTCGCGTTTGGATGTAAACAAATCACGAAACTCAAACTCACCACGGTTTGGTTAGAATAGTAGCTGGTGAGTTTTGTTTGCTTTATATTCCAAGCTACACAGTTGCTTGCTTGTTGATTTTTGGCTACAAAATCAATCGTGATCAAGGGCATTACTTAAATTTGATTTTTTTTTCTCAACACTGGTTCTGCATATGATTCATTCATGCTTACGTTAAATATTTCTCAGACCTCCTCCATCGCTTGTAAGATAACGTTAAAAAATATCAAACAGCCCCACCGTCCTCTAAATGCTTTCGTAATTATTTAATAACCCCTACCCTATCCTTTAATATTAAGTATAAGCTTGCATTTCTTCAGGCACAGAAAGCATTCTGAATATTACTTATGATGTAAACATCGATGCAAATAAACTTGTTTTTCATTCCATGCAAACTACGAGCTTGCAGAAAACGTTGCATACAAAATTTGACAATTTCATGCAATATTTGATATATGTTATAAAATTTCTCATATCATTACATAATATATAATGTAAATTTGGGTTATTTATAATGCTCCATTTATGATCATCATGTTTAACAGAAATTCACACTACTTTTTCTACACAGATAAAAATTCTGAATTTTAATTGTGATGTAAACATTCATTCACGTAAACTTAAATTTAATTTCACACAACTGAGCAACTTATAAACAATGTTGTTTACAAAGATGGGCTTTTGTATACAATATTTGCTACATTGCATGAATTGTGCTAGAACTTTACATGATATATAATGTAAACTTATATGATATATGACGCTCCATTTATGTGCATCATATTGAACAGAAATTTACACTACTTTTCGAACTGTGTAGCTGTGTGGATTATATCAGTATTTATTTTCCAAGGATTGTGAATAATGCAATCATTTTAATATCCGGAGCCTTTGTTTTTTTTCTTTTTTTTCTTGAAGTTCGACATCTTAAAAACATATCCTTGCCCCAGAATATTGATAAATTCTTTAAAAAAAAATCCCAAAGTAGTCCCAGAATCTGAAAAATCAAATTTAAAACCGCAGGATCTTGAAAATTTCATTAAGTTACACACTGTTCGAAAAAGTAGTGTAAGTTTCTGCGTCAAATATCATATAAGTTTACATTATAAACCGTGTAAAGAACTGAGACTTTTTCTTGAAATGTTTCAAATTTTGTATACAAAAGCCCATCTTTGTAAACAACATTGCTGCCAAGTTGTTTGTTTGCGTGAAATGAAATACAAGTTTACGTGAATGAATATGTACATCACAATTAAAATTCAGAATTTTTTGCTGTGCAGTATCATAAAAATGTTCTTAATAATTTTCAAAAATTATCTATGCCGGAATTTTGGAAATTTGTTCGTAGCATATATACACAGATCTAAAAAGTAGTGTAAAAATCTGTTCAATATGATGCACATAAATGGAGCGTCACATATCATACAACACCGAAAAAAATCTGAATTTTACTGGTGATGTAAACATTCATGCATGTAAACTTCCTTTTCACGTAAATTATCAGCTTGCAAGAAATGTTGCAAACAAAGGTGGACAATTGCATACAATATATGGAATATTTCATGACATGTCTCATAAATGTACACGATCTATAGGGTTAACTACCCCATTTCCGGCCTATTAAGCATAACCCGCACTTAGTCTTTCTTAATGTAGCGCAGTTTAGCACCAAACGGAATGTTATTATTAAAGATTGCTTTCAAATTTATTTACCTTTCCGTAAGATTTTATAGAGAGAAACCAATCGTTGAGATATTTTCAAAAGTCTAACACTGATTTTTACGCCAAAAATTGATTCGGTCGGTGCAAACCTTCATACCACGCGTTCTCATTGACTTTGTTCCGTAGTTTATTAACTAAAGTATCGTACCAAACGCATAATTAACTTTATATTAAATGGGCGAATAGGCCGAAGTAGTTCTCTACCCTAATGTTAACTTGAATGATATTTGACGCTCCATTTATGTGCATAATAGTAACGTAAATTTACAATACATTTTTTAGCTGTGAAGCTTACATTAAAACCGTGTAAAGTTTAGGGTTATTTCATAAAAAGTTGCAAATATTGTGTGTAACCGTCGATCTTTGCAAGCAACATTTATTGAAAGTTACTAGCTTTTGTGAAATGAAATACAAGTTAACAGTTACACGCATGAATTTTGAGATTTTATTTTCTGTGTATTTTCATCAAGTTAAAAAAAAGTTTAAAAGAATTCGACCCAATGGCTTTAAATATAATGTTCATTTTTCAGTAACTAAGATAATATCCAAATTATCAGTTTATAATTTAGCGTGTGTTTATTGAGGGCTTAATATGTTTTCTCTATTCCAGTTTTGTCTTATTGAACTCTGAAAATGTATAGCCATGCACTTAGAAAGCGCCTCCGTCGGACGCTAGGATCACCAAAAACCATCATTGCGGCACAATCTAAAGAGGTGAAATCAATCAACTTTCTTCCATCATCGGACAACAGCATACTCCTAGAGGCCTCTCAAATTGACCAGTTCGACGGGATCATAAATTAGATTTACCACCCCATAAATCCTAGCATTAATTCGTGGGACACAAAACATCACAGCAAATTGACCGCCCAACCCAATCACAGTTGACAAACGTGTTTTATTTTTCAACTAGCATATTAGTGAACAGTTTTGACGACAAAAAAGAACAGTTTCAACTAATTGATCATTCAGCCCGCGGCACGCGAAAAGCCTTGACCATCAATCGAAATCACGATGGCGTCGATCTTCCTTTGCCGCCAGTCAGCCAGTCACACTCGCACACTATAATTAGCATATATGCAGATAATGATTTAATAAATTGACGACCAACGGCGCTGTCTCTCGCAATCGTCCGTCCTTTTCGGTTGTGCTTGGTTTCTTCTTCTTTTTTAGTCACTCGCAAATGACAGCTTAATCAGATTTTTTCGCCCCTTCAAATATGCATGCACTTCAAAATGTGTGATTAGTTTTTGACAGGTTGACTGTTTGTTTCTTGTTCCGACTAATTGAATGTAAAAATGTGGCCGACCTACCGCAGTTGCCTGGTGGCGCGCTCAGCAGACCAACACACAGTCATGTATATTTTTATTCACATCGAGTGGTTAATTTTGAAATTATACAATTATAAAAATAACATCTCGATTTGGTGGGTTTTGGATGGCAAGAAGCCCGCCGCGTACGTACGGGCTACGTCAACATGGGTGGTCTACCGATCGCAAAGGATTGTACCTACACGTTCTCTTTCCGGGAGGGGGTGGGGTTTCGAGAGAAAGAGTGTGAGACGAGCGCTCATCGGTGATCGCGATCAACGGCGAGCGAAATCGAGAGAATGGGCCCAGAAAAATTTCAATTGAATAATAAAGTTGTATTAAGGTGCACGGCGACCACATACCAATCTCGGCAGCATGCTCGATTGTGTGTACGAAGCGAAAGAGTGGAGGGAAAAGAGAAACAAAACCGCATACTCAATCGATGTAAGCTGGTGTTGGTGCGATGAAACAAGTTAATTCTCTTCGATTCGCTCATTGCACTGCGTTTGGACGGGCGTGTCCAGCGTGCCACGCCTACTGCGCAAGGGAATGCACCAATACTTGCAAAGGGTAATTAGCTTGGAAATATGTTTGTGTTGATGAATTTATTTGCGCTCGGTCTCGCTTCCACATGCAGGGGTGACATAAGAGGGTCCCGTTTTAGCATGTCTGATTGAGTTGGAGATTTCATGGTGTGCGTTGTGTAAACTAATCATCTTGATTAGTGCCTACGGGTTGGAATGGGAAAGAGCTATACGGGATGTGATGTGGAAGGGAGAAAGACTGAGAGTTAATAGAGATACCAGGAGAATCAGCAGCCGCAGCAAAAAACAAACCAGTCAGTTTGGTTGAGCTCTCACTCAGCTGTCAGTCACAGAGCCTCAGATCACAGGTGACATTTGACTATGTCACATCACAATTTATAATAGAGGATAGAGCTCTCTCTCGGGCTAGCGCGCGCGCGATCGGATCATTGGTCGTAGATAGTGTTCATCGCATTCTTTCTTCGGTGGTTAATTGTGACGAGGTTTAGGGCCAGGAAAGATTCCATCATTGCGGTGGGATCAGCCGGGCGCGTGTTTGTTTTTCCATTGACCGGGTAGTGATTTTTCTCGGACACTACACACCCTTCGTCACACTTCGTCGGTGTCGGTCCTCGTGGAAGCACATGAGTCCGCTCCCTCCTTCTATTGACGTGTGCGCATTCGACTGTGAAGTGAAGTGAATAATGAATGACAAGTCCCCAAGTGACGATTGATAAGCGTGAAGGTGTGCAAAAGATTTTCAGGAAATAATTCAAGTGAAAATCAAAACAATTTTGTAAACAATCTGATAACCTTGAAGTGAAGTGAAGAGTGCGAATATTTTTGTTTTAAGGAGACATTCGCAACATCAGCAAGCATGGCATTGGAAGATCGTTGCAGTCCTCAGAGTGCACCCAGTCCGCCGCATCACCATCATCATCACCACAGCCAGAGTCCGGTCAATTCTGCCACCGCAACGATGATGACCCAGCCCGCAACGGGAACTACGCGAGTTTCGCCTACTACCGAAGAGATGTCGCCACTGGTACCGATCTCTCCGTTGCACATCAAGCAGGAGGTCACTGATCAGATACCTCCGCCTCCAGCACAGCACCAACCCAGCATTACGTTTTCGATCCATAACATCCTGAGTGATAACTTTGGTAAAATTCCGGTTCCACCCACTGCCACCCAGCAACCACCCAGTCCCATGGCCAGTCCTCCATGCAGTTCAGACTCAAACAGCCCTAACGGAGCATCTGTGCACCATCGGAGAGACAGTCTATTCCGGCCGTATGAAATCAGCAAGTCCCCTCGATTATGTTCCAGTAATGGTAGCAGTAGCCACAACCCTTACCACACGGACAGCGAGTCACAGGACTCGACCTGTTATGAACCCCAAACTACTACATCAACTGCCACCAGCATGCTCATGTTCAACAATAACCACTACCACCCGCGAATTCCAACTCTGTACGACTTCAGCACCAAAACCATGCCCAGCATAGATCCTCGGGCAGCGCTTCTGAACGGCTTCAGTGCAACCAGTTATCCAAAGCTCCATGAGGAGATCATCAACAGCCACCGGAAGTTCCAGGCGAAGCTCCTCGAGAGCCAGGCCAAAGCTGCAGCAGCAGCCGTCATCCATCCTCACTCGATGCCTCCACTGGGATCTCTGTGCAAGACCGTCTCGCAAATCGGGCAGCATGTGGCCTCCAACCCGGCACCGATGACGATAGGCTCGACCAACGGAAGCACCGCAGGAACCCCAAACAGTTGCATCAGCAGCAATACGTCCAGCGCCAGTCCAAAGTCGATTCCGAAACCGACGGCCACGGTGGCGTCCAGTTTACCGGGGAACAACGGCAGTGATAGAAGCCATGGAGACGGAAGTGGAATGGCGAATGGCAGTCACAACAACAACAACAACAACAATGACGGTGGAATGTCCTCGGATGATGCCCGGTCGGAAACGGGCAGCAGTAAGGATGGCGAGGGTGGCGGAAATCTGTGGCCGGCCTGGGTGTACTGCACCCGGTACAGCGATCGACCGAGTTCGGGTGAGTTTTCTGATGATTGTTTTTTTAATTGATGATGGAAGTGAGGTTAAGAGTGAGGGGAACGGTGTTGCTGGGGTGAATTGATATTGTGGAATTATTAGAACACTGATATGAAGGAAATAAGCATGTGGTGGTCAATGTGTCGAGTAGAAATAGGTATGGGGCTACATTTTTAATTGATTTTTTTTTTAAGCAAGTTGCACTAAATTTGGAAGACATTTGAAATCAAATGATCAAAAATACATACGAAATAAATCAGAATTGAGGGTCATATCACATCACATTAATTATAAAATATGATGCATTAATCTAAAGTACTGTTAATGCATTATATTTTATAATTAATGTGATATGATGTGACACTCATTTCATTCACCCTAACCCTAATCGACCATTGATTTGTTTGTTTGTTTGAAGAGTCGATTGAAAGAAATTGATTCCATTTTTGGAAAAAAAAAATCAATATTTATAATGATTAGGAATTTAAGCACAATAGAAAATTAATAATTTATTTGTATACTCACATATCGCTGTAATCTCCTTGATTATTACCACTACTTTTGTTCAAGGAGAAGTTTACTACTCAGGAAAAAATAATTACGTTTTGATTTATCTAAAAATATTGGAAAAAAGATATCAAATATCTAAACAAATCCGTTTTTTCCTATTTTGCTAAAGATTTGCAAAAACCATTTTTTGTCGTCATAGCATTAGGTTGGTCGACCTTTGTTCAGTTTTGTAGATGGTGTAATTTTTTTTTTCCACGTTGAGATAGAAAAACATATTTTTTACATGTTGATTTTCGTAGAAATATAAGGAAAAAGTGATGGATTTTTGATCTGTGTTTTTTTTTTTTTTTTTAATTAAATAGACTTTTAGCCTTGCGCTGGATTTTTGATATCATTTTCCAATATTTTTAAACAAATCAAAACACACAAAACCATTTTATTACATTGTTCTATTGAATTCTTTAAACTTTATTACTTGGGGGATCCATCCAGAGCGTTCAGAAACATATGAGGTGAACCAGCCCTCTGCTGAATGTCTTTAAAGAATACATACTAACATAGCTAGATAACAGATCAATTTAAAATTATCATGATAATTGTAGAAAAAGAGTAAGTTAGAACTTATGGTAAGAGTTTATTTGAAAGTCAAATATCATATAGAGGAAGTGTGGAGGCATGTTAAATAGTAGCAGGTAGACGATAAATAAAAAAAATCAATTACCTTGAAATGAGATTTTGTAAATATTCCCAGTAAAAATTTCAAAATGAAGATTTCTAAAAAACTCATTTTCACATAGTTTAAACGTTTGAAAAATTGAAGGTAATTAGTTAGCAAATTTTTCTTGAAAATTTTAACTAGATTTATTTTTCGGTAAAAAGAAATGACTTATTCAATTTTTTTGATTAAAACCTCATTCAGATTAACACTCCGAACACGATGCCTCCGGTAAAATGTGTAACGGTAAATTGGCAATGTTTGAAAAATTATTACTCAACAATTTATCAATAGATTTTAAATCTATTGATACTGAATAAATCTTTAAAGTACGTATTTTCAAATGACGCCAATAGCTTTAAAATTTGTTATTAAATGCCGGAGATACGATTTTCCAAACATTTCAAGTTTGCCGTCACACATTTTACTGGATACATCGTGTTCGGATTGTTAAATACATTGATTTTTGTAGGAAGTTTAACATGTAATTTTTGTTAACAAATATTCAAAGTCCGGTATCTTGAATTTTGAATCTTGCCTCACAATCTTGAAAAGTTTTTAATACTTTGAAACTTATCGCAAGTTTCTTAAGGATTTCTTAGGATCATTTCAAAATGTCGTCAGAATTACAATTACTTTCAGGATTATCCTCAATAATCTTATGATTCAGCTGGTATTATCTAGCAATTGTCTCCATAAAAATGGGTGTTCGTGCAGAACACTTTAGGAATTCATTCAAGTAAACTCTTGAAATTCACTATTAATTTATCTTTGTCTTTTTGAGAATTTTCGAGAGAATTTGCAATATTGTTTTTTCATCATGTTCTTTTCAATTAACTGGGAATATTCCTGGAAACCTCTTGGTGTTTTCCCAACATTTCCTAGGGTTTATTTCAGAATACCATAGAAATATTACTCAGAATTTCCTTGAAATGCTACCCAAAGCGACTTTGAGATGAATCACTTGGAATTTTCTTGAATTTCTCCTTAGAATTCGTTGAACATTTTGGAGAATCTTCTTATAATTTTCTTGAAATACTTCTCAAAATTTCTAGTCAAACTCCATTGAAAATTTCCTCAGAATTGCTTTATAATTATCCCTATAATTCCTCTATAATTATTCTCAAAACGCATTTGGCATTGTCATCGGAATGCTTATAAGTGTCAGAATCCTTAAATGTTGTCCAAGCCCAAGAGCCTTAAACTGAGATTTCTAAAATTCGCCTTACTTATTACTTTTTTCCAATAACATGGTACCGCTGACAAGCTAGGCACACTGAAAATAAACCTTACTTAGATAGTGAATCACTTTTACCCATTCGTATGGAGAAATTTCTAAAAGCATAGGTTATTTAGGTGCTTAGTGACCTCCGCTTTTAGAAATGTCTCTATACGAATTAGTAAAAGTGACTCTCGACTGAGTAAGTGACTCACTGTATGAGTTAGTTACGTTTTCAGTGTATTTATTTTTACTGAGATCTCAGCAATAGACTTCTCTAACTTTTGTAAAATGTACAAGTATTAGTACAGAACTCGGGGTAAATTATACGTATTAGTGCAAGAAAACCTTTGAATTTACCCAAAGTTCTGCACTACTTCTTGTGCAATTCACAAACGTCAGAGAAGTCTATACTCTCGTTTATAAGCTGAATCTCGACATGTTTTTTACTGAGTCCCAGCATCATAAAATGCCGAGCTACACTGCACTGAAAACGGAACTAACTCAGAGAGTGAGTCACTTTTACTCATTCGAATGGATAAATTGCTAAAAGCGTAGGTCACTCATTGCATTTTTTTCTGACATGTTCCTTATTTCGATAAAATCAACATTTTCCAGTTGTTTCCATACAGAATGAAGCGTCGTAACTTTTTCTCACTAGCGACATCTGTTATAAAATTTGACAAAGCGGGCTACTCCGTTATTGCCAGATCAGCAGTAATAATACAGAGAACCAATAGACGATGCTTGCGGCTGGCATTTATCCTCAATGTGTAAAAACTGGTGATCTCAAACTAGGAAACACCAACGCCGGCCACGACCGAATACAGGTCACGAAAGGAATGGGTAGGAATGTGTTGACGTGGCACACGATTAGATGGAAACCTCAGGCACAACATCTACAATTAATCAAAAACAAAGTGAAATTTTCGACGATTTTTATTTTGAGTTGTGACAGCATTGCTTGAAACCGATACAATAGCTATTGGAAGATTCAGTTCACTCACTAGGTGACACCAACTTGAAATTTGAGTTCAAATTACTTGCTGTTTCTAGTAAAGTTATTCAGATGGAAAAGACCTATTGTATACTAGACAGCTCAGAATACTCATATCTCATATTATGTACCAATTGACTTCTGATTGCTAGCTTTAACTAGACTACCCTGCTTCAAAGAAGGTTGCTGTCTTTGGAAAAGTTGTTCAGATGAATACATCAAGTTCCGAATTTGATTGTTACGTTCCAACTGAAACTATGCGTCTGTCTTCAACTTTAATTTTATTTGACGTTTCTTGGGAAATGGTGACTTCACAAAAACACACATAATTTTACATAGTAGAAGATGCTAAGCGCCAAATAACAGACTTAAAGTGGTCATTTTACACGATACAGGGGAAATGACTCTAATGTTGGCCTATGGATCTTAGATTGGGCCCATCACAAAAAATCTACTATTCATAAATTTTATCTAGATGAACGCGTCATTGGGACGGTACTTATGAATATTTTTGGTCGCTATTGAAAACTTAGTCGATTGCTGAAATTATGTATGGGCCCTAATTAGGGGCATTTAGGCCGACATTACATCTATTTCCCCTATGAGGAGATGAAAGTATCCAGCTTTCCATGCTCGGTAATGGCGTCCTGTTTGTATGAACAAATCTATCCTTCACTGTGCTATCTGGAGGTTCGGATTTTGACCCTTCTCTTTCCCTCTCTCAGGAACAGAAGAAAATGGAACAACATACGCCCTCCAGTTAGTGTCAAAAAGCACAGTGAAGGATACATTTATTCCTACAAACAGGCCGCCATTACCGAGCATGGAAAGCTGGATAGAGTTGATAGTTCCATTAGAGTACGGTAGTGTGAACATTTTATATAGAGAGTAGAAAGCGAGCAAGGACAACTTTGAGGAAGGTACCATCCCTCTCCAACTGGGGAGTTTGGTAGAAAGAGATGATCAACCCGATTCGTACGTTCCTCAAAGTTGTCCTTGCTCGTTTTCTACTCTCTATAAACAATTTTCACACCAAATGACCACTTTAGGTCTGTTATTTGACGCTTAGCATCTACAACTATGTAAATCGTTAACTTCACGCAGAAGTAATTCAAACAAAATAGTTCTTTCTCGAAAGAAAAGAAAATAAATAATAATTAATGTTATGACAACTATTACTATAACTAAACCTACATGCAGGCATGGAAAATCATTTGCATTCATTTCGTGCATTCATTTACATTCATTTGCCTCTAAATTTTTTCTTGAACAGCATTCTGCAAAATAATGTATCAAGATATTAGCTACAACTTTTATTAAAAAGTCAAACTCGTATCTCTTATGCATGACGAACCAGAGTGAACAGAAGCCACTACTGTTTTTCAGTAAATGTATTTTACATTCACTAAAAAACAGTAACAAGTTCTGCCCGCTCTAGTTCGTGATGCATAAGAGATACAGATTTGAGTTATGACCACAAGTTGTAGCTTATAACAAAACCTACAAAAGCTCTATACATCATTTTGCGGAATGCTGTTGATGAAAAAAGTTAGAGGCAAA